TTGGTCCTACCCATGACAGTCGGATCTACAAAAATTGGAATAACCCTGATCTATAACTGTCACTCCAGCAGCATTTCCAAAAAATATTGTGAAATATGTCTATGCTATTACAACGCCAACAGTGAGATGGGTATAAACCAGTCCCTTCAGTAGAAATGAAGCAGGGTTTCACTTAGATAAAAATGAGTCCAACCGCTTAGTTTATATGATAAACAAATTAAATCAGAAGGGTCCCATTCCTCATCACAAGTTGCATCCAAATGACTCCACTCGTAATTCCGTAACCCTCTACGTTCATGCCGGCACCTGCGACTGAATGCAAGCGAAAAATATGTCGTTCTTAGTGCCGAAGTTTATTGTTGTCCAACTTAAGATCCGATAACACAATTATTTACTTATTGTATCACCATTTCTCTCTTGGATACTATGTAGATCAAATCCAGCGGAACCTGCGATGTTCCATTGGTTGCAGAATTAGTTTGTAGCTACTACTCAAGCGTAGGCTAGCTTACACTACTGCCACCCTCCTTGCACCAAGCATTTATAACTAAGCCGATCACGTTCGGTAGGAGCTGGCAACATCTGAGCATTAATCAATGAAGCTGCAAACAGCCTTCTTCGAAGCGTCAGCGATTTGATGCCCCACACTCTGTTCAACTCGTCAAACAGTTATGAGTATCCTCATGCTTACGTTCAGCTATTACTAAATCGTCAGCATCTTGTTCCTGATGATCTTATACCACATCCTGTCCAGTGCGCTTCTCAGTGCGGTGCCTAACTGCGAACCCAGGATAGGAAACGGGAAGTTGCCTCCCTTGGGCACAAGTTTCTAGACTATATTCTGTCCTCTGTATTGTTAATAAAACAAACTTACTTTTACCACCAGCAGAAGACAAGAAGTGATTGATCTAACCTTAACCAACGAAATTGTGGTAGATTAATTCAATAGCCGCTGTGGTGCAATGGTAAGCAGTGCGCGCTTCTACTCCGCAGGGCCTGGGTTCAAGCCCTGGTCAAAGCAACATCGCAAAAAATTTTAGAAAAAACGGTTTTTCGTAACGGCGGTCGCCCCTCGGCAGGCAATGGCAAACCTCCGAGTGTATTTCTGCCATGAAAAACAGCTTCTCATTAAAATACAATCGCCGTTCGGAGTCGACGTAAAACTGTATGTCCCTACTCTTTGCGTGACAAAATCAAGGCGCAGACCACAAATCGAAGGAGAAGCTCGGCCAAACCCTAACATATGTGTAAGCGCCAATCTATCATTATTATTATTATTGTTATTAAATCAATAGATGGATTTTCTATTTGATCATCGATTTATTGAAAGCGGAAGAAGCGGTCGCATAGTGGAATTTTTAACATAACAAGTAAGAAAGTCTAAGTTCGGGCGGAGCCGAACATTAAATACCCGGCGCAAGTATTAAATATATGTTTTCCACCTTTCCGAAAGCTACCGCTACATGCTAAGCTGGGGCGTATCAACTTTAAGTAAATTAGAGTTCTTAAATTTCGAAATTTTGAAGTTTCAAGCAGTTCTGAAATTTACCGTTATATGAAAAGCATCCTCAATATTAGTCCGATTTAAATAATTTTCAAAGTTTTGCTTTTATGTGACAAGCACAATAACCATACCGAGTTTGGTACAAATTGGTGGAACGGTTACCGACATACATATATGTGATCATAAGTGGGCGGTGCCACGCCCATTTTCCAAAATTTTAAGATAAACGTATTTCTTGGTAAAGAATTGTTGCAAGCGTCAATTTTGAATAAATTAGCTTTCATATTTACTGATGTATCGAAGATTCCGTATTTCTCTAAACTACCCTTATATGGACTGTGGGCGTGGTTATTGTCCGATTTTAAAAATTTTCGGCCATTTGGTATGCTGTACCAAGCCCAACAACTGTGCCAAGTTTGGATGAAATCGGTGCAGCGGTTACCAAGATATACACATGTAACCATAAGTGGGCGTGGCTACGCCCATTTTTAAAAATTTATAATATTATTATTTTTGTCTAAAAATTGTTGCAAATATCAATTTTGAGTGAATAATCTTCAGTAGTTACTAAAATATCGCAGTTTTCGTATTTCCGAAAATTACCGTTATATGGGATGTGGGCGTGGTTATTGTCCGATTTTTAAGATTTTTGGCCATTTAGTATGCTGTATCAAGGCCAACAACTGTGCTAAGTTTGGAAGAAATTGGTGCAGAGGTTACCAAGATATACACATGTAACCATAAGTGGGCGTGGCCACGCCCATTTTCCAAAAATTTATAATATTCTTATTTTTCGTCTGAAAATTATTGTAAATATCAATTTTGAGTGAATTATCTTCAGTAGTTACTAAAATATCGCAGCTTTCGTATTTCTGGAAATTACCGTTATATGGGAAGTGGGCGTGGTTACAGTCCGATTTTGCCCATTTTCAATACCAGAAACCTACATACCAAATTTCGTTGAGATATCTCAATTTTTGCTCGAGTTATCGTGTACACGGTCGGACGGACAGACGGACGGACAGACAGACATGGCTTAATCGATTTCTCTATTCATTCTGAGCATTTATGCATACATTTGTGTATATCTATCTCGATTCGTTTTGGCTGTTACAAACAACCGTTATGTGAACAAAATTAATATACCCTTGTGCACAAGTGCGCTCGGGTATAAAAAACTTGGTAGTAGGTCAGGGAGACTTCTGAGCAGGGACCCAAAGAGAAGAGAGGTCATCTGGATTTTATATCACGCAGAAGGGCTAATAATAATAACAGCATTACGGCGGTTGCACTTTTGCTAAGCGTCTGGCTGAGCTTTCCCTTCAACTTTTGGTGTGCGTCTTAATGTTGTTACAAAAATTGAGGGACTTAGAGTTTCACGCCACCTTCGAATGGCAAATGGATTTTATGAGAAGCTTTTTCAATTAAAAGTTCGTTCATCTAAATTGAGCAGTGATATGTACAATATAAAAAAAATGTAAGTGCGCCTGGGCCACACTGGAGAAGTGAAACTTACGATACGAATCTCTTCTTTTCGCATAACCAATATACATAAATATGTACATACATACATTCATCTGCTTTTGCTTAAGGTTATATTTTTTATCTTTTTTCTACCTACATCCCTACCTCTACTACTGTTCGTTCTAATTACATTTATCTTATTCTGTTTTCCTTTATCTTCATTTTTATCTTTACACTCTATCGATAACAAAATCGATAGTAACATCCAACAAAATATAGCAAAATCGGTTATAATATTGGTAGCAAAATTGATTAGCAAATCGATTAAAATATTGATAACAAAATCTATAAAAATATCGATAAATAATCGATAACAAAATCGATAAATATCGATAGCGAAATCGACAAATATCGATAACAAAACCGATAAATATCGATAACGAAATCGTTAAATATTGATAACAAAATCGATAAATACCCATAAAAAGTAGACAAATATCGATGACAAAATCGATAAATATCGATAACAAAATCGATAAATATCGATAACAAAACCCATAAATATCGATAATAAAATCGATAAATATCGATAAAAAGTCGATGTATATCGATAACGAAATCGATAAATGTCGACAACAAAATCGATAAATATCTATAAAAAAATCGATAAATATCGATAACAAAATCGATAAATATCGATAACGAAATATATAAATTTCGATAACAAAATCGATAAATACTGATAAAAAAATCGATAAATATCGATTAAAAAGTCGATAAATATCGATAACCAAATCGATAAATATCGATCATAAAATCGATAAATATCGATAAAAAACTCGATAAATATCGATAACAAAATCGATAAATAGCGATAACAAAATCGATAAATATCGATAACAAAATCGATAAAAAAAGCCGATAAATATCGATAAAAAAAATCGATAAATGTCGACAACAAAATCCGTAAATGTCGATAACTAAATCGATAAATATCGAATACAAAGTCGATAACAAAATCTATAAATATCGATTACAAAATTGATAACAAAACCGATAAAGATGTCAATTATTTCATCGATAACTCCCGAGAATCCCGAAAATCTCGATAAAAGGTCGATAAATATCGATAACAAAATCGATAAATACCGATAACAAAATCGATAAATATCGATAAAAAAGTCGATAAATATCGATAAAAAGAATCGATAAATGTCGACCACAAAATCCATAAATATCGATAACAAAGTCGATAAATATCGATTGCAAAGTCGATAACAAAATCTATAAATATCGATAACAAAACCGATAAAGATGTCGATTATTTCATCGATAACTCCCGAGAATCCCGAAAATATCTAAATTTCCAAAATAGTTCCCAGAATGAGTCTGTGTCTCTCTCTATATCCTTTCCTCTTTAATTACCTTTATTTTAATCTTTCTTCCCCTATCTTCATCTTTACTTTTATCGGTATCCTCATCCTCCTCTTTGTCTTTACTTTTATGTTTATCATTTTCTTCATCTACATATTCCCCTTCACCATTGCCTATATATATAAGTAAAGCGTTTAAATTTACCTTGGTTTTCATTTTTGCCTTTATCTTCACGCATCTTTGTTTTTTTTATTTATTTTTACCTTTGCCTTTATCCTTTTCTCTATCTATGTATATACGTACTCACCTTTACTTTCATTCTTGTATTGGTCTTTTTCTAAGAGTTATTCTTTAACCTTTTATTAGTTGTATACCACATGCATACACACAAGTAGCAATTGTTTCAGCCCCAATCATTTCCGTTGCACCATTTCCTTTGCATCATTTCCGTTTCACCATTTCCGATGCACCATTTCCGTTGCACCATTTCCGTTGCACCATCTCCGTTGCACCATTTCCGTTGCATCATTTCCGTGTGCAATTTCCATTGAATTTGCCAATTTACTCCCAACAGCTGCTAAAGAAGTTTCACTTAAAAAATCTGTGCCTCCAACAGTACCTAAGGATTATGCTTAGTTAGTTGGCTCTCGAAGAGGACCAACTGAGACCACAGAATGGTTCGGGTCCCGAAAAGGCTGTTAGCGATCTTTCTCATGCCAACTCGTCTGCGAACTCGTTGGTTTTGATTCCACAATGACCTGGTGCCCTGCACAGTGTTACCGTGTTTTTTCTGCCAAAATTTGTTGCGTTTCAAATCAGTCTATAACAAGCTTGGATTTGATAGTCCTGTTTGAAAGTACCGGATGGAGGCTTGGCTACCTGAACAGATAACTGGAAAGGCGCCCTTCAAATACTTTTTGAGGTTTGGGCCATTTGTCCATGCGAATTATAAGTTTGGTGCTAGGTCCAAAGATATCTGCACCGGCTCTGTTCTCCATCCTTGAACCGTCTGTGTACCAGGGAACGTATCTGAGATCAAGTTCAGGGAGGCCATTTGCCCAATCATCGGGATCGGGGATTATCATTTGGAACTTTCTACCAAAGCAGACCTCTTTAGTAGTGGAATCAGAGATTCCGCTTAGATTTTATTCTCTCAGAAAACCTGATGGATCTTATACCACGTCGCTGCTAGACACGTATGAAACCCATTTCCCGGGTATCATATTAAATTATGACGCAGGCGTAGATACGAAAGTGTGCAGCACGACGGGACCAGCTCCTATACTAGACTTTTACACAATTCCCCGATTGCGTTTAGCCGAAGGTGACAAGGTGTGGATAAGACAGGCTGATAGGGGCTCTAAGAAGAGATCGAGGGGCTAGTCTCGAATTGGTCCACACCCCTATATTTAGCGTAGTTTTCATTCCCAAATTGAGGAAGGAAAATACAGGGGTAGGCGCTCGAAATTCTACCAATTAAAGATGCTATAATTTTGTCTGTTTTGCTTTTTTTCTTCAACAATATCATTTCATCCTAAGAACATTTCAAGGTTTAAGAAAAATGTTTTACTGTTTGATGAAGCCATCTTTAGCGCGGATAATAACATCCAGTATGCCCGTTAATACTCCACAGGCTGCACGAATGTAGTCTAGGGGTATTTTGTATTGAACAGGACGTAAATGTAAATCAACTAATCTGCCGTGAAAGGATTTTAAACGATACTTTGTTACTTTGGGCGCGAAAACAATTTGGTAGAAATCTTTGGACATTTCAATAAGACTCGTCGCTATCGCGTAAAGTCTGTGAAATCCAACGTTTTTTAGAAAAAAAACAAACTCCCCACCTACATTTCTTTGCAACAATGGGCACTTTATTCACCATTTCCATTAAACCCAATAGATTTTTCCATTTAGTCCATTCTCATGGCCAAAGTATCAGTTGAAAGATATGAGACAATCAAAGCCTTAGATATTGCTTTTCGTCGCCACTGGGGCAAAATACCACCAGACCACATTCGTGCATTCTGTGAATTATTCTCGGTGAGACTCGCTGCTAAAGGTGGATACATAGGACAGTAATATACTTTTCTTAAAGGTTGACATGTTTTTGTGATAAACTTTGAATAGACGAAACTATGAGTGGCTTCGTAAACCAGAGGTTTCTAAATTATTCGTATGTTCTTGTTTTTGGTTTTTTCGGGCTGAATTGCGGTTATTGTTAAATGGGTTTTCAGTTTAATGGACTTATTTTTTCTGGAACCATTTTTCGGGACATTTTGAATCATGTTTCAATCCTTTTAGTCCCATTTTTCGGTGTTTGTAAGACTCTGAAGGGTCAGTTCATTAAAGAACCCAGTTATCCGGATCCAATTCCTAAATTCTGTGCCTAACTGGTAGACAGTTGCTTAGTGTTTACCAGCATGCATACCAAAGTGGAAATCTCTGCGAATCAGCTCTGCATGACCTTGAGACGAAGATCGAAGTGGAACTCGAAGCAGGAGATTGCGGAATTGCGAGCCTTTACTGATGTTGGGGAGGTGATTGACCACTCTGCCTTTGACTGTGTTAGCTCTACGGTTATGCCATGGACGAAATAATTATATAGCGTATACACTCGAAGTTAACTAGGAGATTGCCAACTACGTGGGAGGTAGAAGACATTTGTACCATTCCATAGATTGGAAGAAGGTTTCCTCAGTATTTCCAACCCTATTGTGGTGTTAGGTTGTAGGCTTCCGGAGTTTAAATCGGAAGTATTTGCAATACTTAAAGTGTCAGACAGGATATTTGGTAAAAGATGGCCAGGGTCAGGGGTTGCAGTTACAGCCACGCTACTCCAACGGCATTGGATATTACTGTGTGTCGAATTTCCTTAGATTTGGTTGCTCTTTATTTAATTTTCGGAATTTTCCCAGAATATTGTTATGGTTGAAAGCGTGTTTCAAAGTAATCTGCAGTGCATTGATTTCTTATCGACTCCTCGCTTCATGTAGCCAGATGTAGCTCTGTACTAGAATCTGATTCTACATAATACTTTTATACAGCCCCTCTTAATAGGTTCCCGTTGGAGGACCATAAGGAGAACTTTTATAGTGAAGATTTAATTTTTAGATTACAATGTGTCTATAAAAAAGTTAGTTGAGATCACAATTCTAGCCCTAACTGTGTACGCTGTTGTGGCTTATCAACGTATCACATTTTTCCGATTTACTTGGACTTATGTATGCATGAGAGTTATATATGAATCTATCGTTACCTTAACATATGTAGAAAGGCCCTATCTTACATAGTCGCTAAAATATACCGTGGCTAACTAAAAATCTAGAATTCACTTTTTGAGTGATTATGATGCATTTCATCGGATTATGAGTGCCCACATCGTTTTATGCAATAAAAAATGTTGGTTAGATACGGCTTTTTTGCATTTTAGCGCCACTGTGAGATAGGGTATTTCTATATTAAGGTAACGATATATATTTTTGTAGAAGAAATTTGTAAGTTAATCCGTATGAATATCAAAAACGTTTATACTTCATTTTATTGCCTCAATTAAGTCTGTGCAGTCAATACCAGCAACTTCTTCAGTTCAGTCGACTGAACAGTTGGTCAGTTACTTAATTATCTACAACTGTTTTGCATCAGAACGGTAAAAGAATTAGCAAACAAATAACTCGTTAAAGAGCAAACACAAAATTTAATTCAAGCGCAGCTTAAATATTTTTTTTAAATACTTCTTGCTCTTGCTGCTTGTAAATATTTATAGTAGCATAGAGAGATGGTATTTCTGGAATGAATCGTTAACAGCAACTTAAAACAAAGGAAAAGAAACTCAGCAGCAGTTCTTCAGGTTGTTTGCTTAGCGGATTCCAGCATAATTTCGCATTGTTTAGCTTAAATTAGCGGCCATGAGTTGGTCTGCTGCCTCTACCTCTACCTCTGCCACTGTCACTGCCTTTAAATTCATTCAAAGCACGCACAAGTTTGTTGCTTAAGTCTTTCGTTACTTCTCAAATCTTTTGGTGTGTAATGTGAGCCGCAAATAAGTGATGAGATTATGTTGCGCATTTATGCCGAGCTTCCGCTTTTCATTAACAAACTCATACAAAACACGCATTCCCATAACATTTTGACATTATGCGCTAAGACGTCCAAGAGATCGCGTGCATACACGCGAGCGTGGGCACTCGCATACATAAGCACACTTTTTTTTGCATGGCTATTCTAAAGCCCTTCACCAGAGTTTCTGCATTCATCTAAGTAAATTTTGTTTGCCTTGCTAATTCCTATGCATTTGTTTGCGGCTGCGCTGTTGCTGTTGTTGCTGCACGCTTTTGCTCCAGCACTAAGCAAGTGCAATATACTTAACATTTGCAAGCTGCTTTCAGTTGTACCGTTCTTGTGAACATTTTCGCTCATTAGTGATGCAAAGTGCCTGCCATTCCAATGCGATGCTCTTGTTTGTTTTTGCCGTTTCCTTTCTTCTAATTTATCCCACTCTATATTTCCACTGTTTGTTGCACCGCGATACCTGTTTTGGTTGCTTTCAAAAGCAGCAAAAATTAAATATGAATGTACACTTTAGCTACGCTCGGCCGCGAGTGGTGGTTATTGTTGGAGTCATCTTCTGCTTCTTCTTCTTCGAGTTCTGTCAGTTGACAGCGGCAGTCCGCTGTACTCTGCAAATATTGTCTGGAATCTTCCGATCATCGCACCAGCTGCAGCGCAACCGTTGTTGGTGTGGCATTGTTGCATGCCTTAGTTCGTGCCTGCCACTGTTGACTCCATTCAAGTTCAGTGCTACGAGTATGTGGTAGTTTTTTCTCTTTTTTATCCATTTGCCAGCATTTTATAGTTTATTGTTTAGTTGCTCAGTTATTGCAAAAACATCTTTCAACTATACAATGGAGATAGTATTTGTTCTTCTGCATTCTTCTTGGTTCAAATTAGAAAAAGTAATATGCATTAAGACTCTAATTTCCGTTTTATTGCATTTTTTGTTCTTGCTAAATACTTATGCTGTTTCTTTGTTACCGGTATTTCGCTTTGTAATCACAATGCAGCGATTAGCTTTTAATGTTCTTCTATCGAATGATGGCGTCGACGTTGATGTTTTCATTGTCATTCCTATTTCCACTCGACTCCGTGGAGAACAGGTGATTGGACTTAATTTCGCAATAGAATTCTTAATACTTTATGTGCAGAAAATCTGGTGCAATATCTAATGAAGTAATTATCTTGTAAATATCAAATTAAGCATCTAATTACTATGTCATCGAGGTATTCAGTGCGCTGTTTGAAGAAAATACTATGAAAGTAGTGCTATTTTTTATGAAGTGATGCGGCTCAGAGATAGGATAAAACTAAGTTTTTAGTTTTTCTATCCGACGTTAGCATTTTACTAGAAAGGGCTTTGTAATTTTAAAGATATGATTAATTCAACCGACTTTAATTCTCATATAAAAATTTACGAGTACCACTCTTTACGATGCAATGATCGGATCTAATCCACATTAGTATGTTACTACCCTTGAGGTACCATCTTTCCGATAAAAGAAGAATCATCAAAATCGGTTCACGTTATGCGGTAACATACAAATCAAAAATATTCCGATGAATTGGTTACCTCCCCCTTTTTTGAGCTCGGTTAAAAAGTGGTTGCACCGTTGTATTATTTATCGTCCTTAACAGTTCCTTACGCCCGAAAACAAATTTACTTCATACTCGCTCGAGTAGCCCAGTGATTTTAAACCTTCCGTTCAGTAGATCCCTTTTTCAGTGGTTAAACGCTAAAACAAACGAAGCAATTTTCCTCTAAACGTAATTTCGGTATGAATACATTTTAGTATGTTATTGAGGAGCATCCATTTTGTGTAACTTTTACCACCGTAAAGAGATAATAAAAGCAGCAAGCGAATAGTTTTATAAAATAACATAAAACAAAAACATATCAAAATACTACTTTTACAATCTGTGGCAGTCTTAAACCTCGTTTTACTATAGTGGAAACTACACACTACTCAAATACTTTTCACATACATATATTATTCATGCAAGTTTTCGTAAAAATCCGTACGCCCTGCCTCCCCCTCACCATCATATACATAAGTAAATATAACGTTGCTTTTGATCGATACTTTTTTTAAAACTATTTTAAAATTGCCTATATTGTTTTCGTCTGACACCCATATTGTGATAGATATTTCAATAACCTAATTGCCACCATTCAAGTTGAATTTGATTATTTAAACATGTGGGAACCCTTCTAAATATATATCTGAAATAAAGCCTTTCAAAGGCATTTAGAATGGTACCCATCTTTTAATAATTCATTTAAAGTATTAAGTAATTTGCCGTTAACCTTGTAAACAGGTGGAACCCTCTTCAAACAAATCAAAAAATGTGTATATATACAAACTAAAAATTTCTTAGCCATCTTTCGTTTGACACCCATATTTCAATACTTCATATAACTTATGCATGATTTCATTAAATTGAACTTTTCAAACAGGTGGCAAGCCTTTGAAAAAAATTAAAATTCATTGCACATCTATAGGCCAAACCCTTAACACCTCATTTTTTTAATTTAATTAATTGTGTAAATCTAATGTCATTAACAAAAAAAATAAAAGCTATTGCACATCCGGAGACCATATCCTTTCACTTGGTACTTAATTTTTAGTTCAACTAACGATATTTACCTTATAATTTAAAAAAACGTGGCAACCCTACACAAAAAAATAATACATTATTGGACATCAAAAGGCCAAAATCTCTATTAAAAAAAAAAGCTCGACAAATCCGTTCAGTATTTTCCAACATTTACGTGTTCAAAAAATCTCGACTTTCCATGTATAGGTATATACTATACTTTGTAAGGAGGATACATACATGGCGCAATAAACAGGTGAAATAAAAAACAGCTTTCTCTCTTTATTTTCTGACATACGGCTGTCTTTTAGTCAAATTTCATAGCCAAATTTTCAAATAAGGCAGTGTCAAAATCCTTCTTCTCGCTCTAATTACTTCACCTTGAATAATTCCACCATGGGATACATAGATTTCTACGTTTGGAAACTTATACTTCGCTAAAAGTATTAGATTTTGGAATAATGAGCAAAAATGAGCAAAAACTGTTGTTATTCAAATAAGATCAGTGCTTTTCCCTTAGTTCGGTGCTTTTATTCTAAGTGCCTCTGGCAATCTGGCTAACTTATCGGTTTCCTCATTTGCTTCGACTTCCCAAAAAATCTTCACTTTTCTGCTTTATGATTTATTAAATGCTGATTTCATACAACAATCAGTGAAGCCTATGGACCGCAAAAGGTGTCAGCCGCTTTGTTATCTGCCTCAATCAAATTTGTTAAAAAGTAATTTAACAGCGAAAGCAATGGCTTCATTATTTCATTTTCTCATACTTTCTTTCTTATGTTTTCTGCTTTTATTAATCACTTTTTTACGGTTTTTTTTTTATTTACAGCTATATACTTGCAAGAATGATATACAATGAAATAAATACTTTTGAACTTTGTTATGTGGCATGCCAACAATAACTGTGACAAGCAAAGTGAAATTATTTCCATTTTAATGCATAAATTGTAATTAAATAGCAGCTAAGCCACCCACATAAATATAAGTTAACTGTCAAATAAGGAAGCCGATACAGCAATTACAAACAATAAGAGCACAACCACATCATTGGCATTTCAACGCATTCACTCACAAATCGGACCACGTGCCGTTCAGCGTCCTCAAAAAAGTGCTCAGCGGGCAATACACTCCGGCCTTCCCACTTAATTATCCAACAGCAAAATTACACACACACACACATATTTCGAATTCATACAGCAGCACGCATTGACGCGCCTGCGTGCAACCATCCACCAGCAGCGGTTCACACCACCAACCAACACTTAGCCGAACCATCCATTAATTCACCCGGTGACACAGATTCGACGCGTTTGTTTTGATCAGCTGCTTCGAGTGGCGCGAACGGTTAACCTGACGCAGGCGTTACGCACCTTCACACATCGCAACCGGCACGGGCCGGCAAGGTGCCGCTAATCGTTTTTTTTCATTTATTTCTTTTTTCTCACTTTATTCAAAAATGTTGTGGCGTTTTATTGCCGCTGTTGTGGTGGCGCTGTTTGGCTTGTGGCCCGCGCAGTTGGACGCTTATATTACTCAGTCAATAGGTAAGTTTTACACTCAACATACTTAACCATAAAAATATTTATTTACTCACTCGCGGTAATTTAAAACGAATTCTACATTAGAAAACAGTTTGTTAATTGAAATACTGAAATCACTCATAGCGCAATTTACTCAAGAGTGGTTTCTTTTCAAAAAACTCCTATACTGCTTTTTGTATGCTTCTAATGTATTCAGCATGCTTTGGCATAATTGTTCCCTAATGCTAACGGGATTAAAGACTGATTGACATAAATAGTTTCGGATGGTAATTACTTGTGAATAGGAGAATCGAAAAATATGTAAATCAACCTATTAAAAATGGAGTTGGCAAAGATATGCAGATATATAATATGTATCTGCATTAAAATACACGGGACGAATAAGTCCAACATAAATCTTTCAGTTCTAAATTGTTTAGCTACATACATATTTTACGTGAATTTACGTAATCAGCGGCGTAACCAGAGATGAGCATGGGGGTTTTTCTTAATCGTTTTAGAATTAAAAACAAGCAGAAAACATACACAAATATTTTTACTAACAAAAATAAAACCATTAAATTCACAGGGTAAAAAACTGAGTTTAAATTAAAAAAATTATAGTTTAAAAAACTAAAAACTCGCTTTACGTAATTTCCATCCATACTATCACCAGGTTACTTAAATAATGGAAATTTAAAGCAATTCCAATTCATACTAGTGACGCGCGGAATAGCGATTTTTTAGTATCAGTGAAATGAGTGATGGCGATTTTTAAATCACAGTGCTTAATAACACAGAAATGTATAATAAATAGTTAGTTCTAATAATCTAATAGTTCTAATTACAAATCAGTGTTGGTAGATTTAGGGAAATTCTCCACCCGTAGGTAAGTGTAGGGAAAAGCTTCATTTATTCGCTCAAATATTGCCATATTTCACTTCGTTTTTTATTTACATTTCTTTACTCATTTCCACCGCGCATTAACTCCACACAACTCACCACAAGCAAGCAAAAGAAAAGGCCAAAAAGTATGATATAAACTATGCCGATAACCCCTTGTCGAAATTCTTGCAACTTACCCGACCTCTTAACTGCAGTTTAACTTTTGGTGGAAATATCCTACTAAGTTGCGCCCGATACTAAGTTGCGGCGAACGCTTTCGCTTAAGTATAATGAATTCTTTCATTTTCGTTTACAGATACACGTTTTCCATCAATAAAACTGTTAAACAAATCCCTTTTAAAAATTGTAAAAACATAATTTTTGCGCCAACTGAAAGAAATTGTTTAATTTAATAAAATTTGGTCAAACTGCCGATAGCCAAAGGAAGGTTATTTCTCGTACTAGAAACCCAAGCTGTAACATTTTTATAAGAAGTTATTTTTTGTGGGATTTCAGCCAAAATAAAACTGTATCCAAAAATGCAACCAATTCCCCAAAATAGGTATCGAAGCGGCATGAAATTGCTAAAACTTTAGTTGATATAGAAAAATTGTAGTATTTGAAAAACATATTTTTTGTTTTTATCCTTACATTGATCCAATGCTTGCATATTTACATAAAATTTTTTGAAAGTGCATTCGTTATTTTTCCTTGAAATAGCCGCAAATCTGCACATTCCACTTAAAAACGTTGTTCAGATCAATGAAAGACTTTCTAACTACTGTTATCTTTGGTTGTGAATAATTTTGTGTGGGCGAAACTGAATTTTATATACCCGGCGCAAGTATCAATTTTATCGTTTCAACTTTCTCTAAAGTAATTATGCCTGATAAACAGGGGCGTTTTCCCGATCTCAAACGTTTTCGATAATATGCTGAGTTAGACTTACAGCCGTATTCTAACAAAGTCACAAACTTCAGCTCATCACTGCTGTGATTTCTACCGCGCCTCAAAGCTTGCCGCTCAAAAAATATGCCGCTTCAATTCAATTTTTTAAATTTTTGTGTATTTTTCTAGCACTCAAAATCGAATTTTTTGTGACACATTTCTCGGCGTACTTGAAATCACAACAGTGATGAGCTAAGTTTTGTGACTCTGTTAGAATAGAGGGGTTAATGATATAATTGAACCAAATTTGGTAGAAATCGATAAAGCGGTTACCGAGATAGATCTTTCTAGTCGTAAAGTAGGCGTTGCCTCACCCATTGTCCAAAAATTTATAATAATCCAATTTTCTGTTGATTAGTTACTGCAATCATCGATTTTTAGAGAATTAGCTTCAGTAGTTACTGTTTTATCGCTATTTTCGTTTTTCTGTAAATTACCGTTATATGGTATAACCGTTATATGGTATGATTTTCAACAAATTTCTTACCTGGACCCTAATCGTAGGTCGTACGGAGTTTGGTAAGAATTGATGAAGCGGGAGGCTGAGTCACGCCCCATTTCCAATAATTTCATAATAACATAATTTTTTACCAAAAATTCCACTTCACATACAAATTTTCAACAGTTTGCAACCAGTATGTAGTTGTATGGGAAGTGGGCGTGGTTATAGTCCGATTTCGCCCATTATAAATACCAATCTACCTTGGATAAAGAGCAACCTACGTACCAAATTTTGTTGATATATCTCAATTTTTTTATCAAGTTGTCCTGTACACGATTTCTCTTTTCATTCTGAGCACTTATGCATACGTTTGTCTATATCTAACTCTATTCCTTTAGGCTATTACAAACAAACGTTATGTGAACAAATTTACAATACCCTTTTACACAAGTGCGATCGGGTACAAAAAGGTGCTTATTTAACCCTTAATTAGGCGCTTGGAGTCAAGGCCACTTCAAAGTTGAAAAACAAATTATTTTGGAGTGATTGGAGCGTGCTCGCGCTTTCTAGCTTCCTAACTCCATGCACGGTACGTAAATAATTCACTGCCAGAACATCGCCGCGTATATATGTGCCGCTACTCGCTTGAGCGCTGACCCCATGCGACCACTAACGTATCATATTTTGGGGGCGGTAAATTTTAAATTTATTTTTACGTTTTAAGTCGAAAATATGTTTTTCTTTTTTTTTCTTTTTAAGTTAACGATAATAGAGTTTAATGTTTTTGATAATACACACTTCGTTTTTTTTTTTAATTTGAAATCTCTTTTTCAACACTTTCATTGGGGTCAATGGGGACCCCATGCGACTAATTGTGTAATTTTCTTTATGCGCCTAATTAAGGGTTAAAGCAGATTGACCGTTCGTATCCGGAGACATTTTTTTGATAATTTTCCACGTTCATTACCCACTCAGTCTCACTGAGATTGTAGCAAAGATGTGCTGAACTCTCTATGTTCTAGTCGAATTTCTTTTGATTTTCAGTCCAAATGATTGGATGATTAGGGTTGCAGCTTTCTCCTTTTTGTGCGCTTGGTAGCGAATTGATGAGCAATAGGTTTACAGGTGCAGTCGACAAAGTTACAGACATTTCAAGGAATGTCACTCTCAACGGCCATGGTTTTTTCTAATGTCATTAAAAAAAACTTCCTTCGCAGCGAGTAAAGGAGCGAAAACTGCTGCACTGTATGATGGGAACCGTCGCCATTACAATACGTATTCACTTGAATTATTACCATCGTGGGTACGGATTTGAAGGAAATCGAAAGCGCTGAGCATTACCTACGCCACTAACTCGCATTGAGAAGGCCTCGCCGATGACCGTTGTCGGCCAAGGAATTCCCTTTTCCAGTGCTGGTTGAGGGCAGCTAAGATAACCTAACCTAAAAAGCAAAACACCCCGTTGAGAGTCTGTAAGAAAACGTTCACTTTAGTCTGAGGCACCTCGACAACATTTTGCATATATTGTGTGCAAGCAGATCTTGAAAAACATTCACCGAGAGACCGTTGATACCACCTTCATAAGCTCTCGCCCAAGACCAGCTTTATTGAATGGAAAAACTTTCTCTGCACCGTAAAATTCATGTTATTTTAGCATCTCGAAGTACCGTTTATGCATAGTAAACTCAGATGTAAGCGACATATGCACACTTGACTCTATGCCTTTAGTCCGACTACACTTAAATCGTGTATTTCTTAGCACACCCTTAGTCAAGCTTTATAAAAGCGACTAATGTTTACAACATCAACATCTAATACTGGACAACACTTGGAACACATTTCGTCTGCTGGTTATTCATGGAACTCCCTTTGATTTTGTAAGTTAACCTTAACTAACCGGCTAATCTTTATTGCAATTATGCTTGAATATTCCAAGGTATGGCCCACATTTCAGCGATGCTAAACAATTAGTCAACTGTATTTAACTTATCAACGCGTTGAAAAATAATTTCTTAAATAGCTATAATTTTCCTCATCATGCCGAAAAATATTTATAAATTCGGTTGGCTTGTCCATTTGTGTCACTCTGACTGCGCCAACGAAACAAATAACGCCCAGCGGAAAGTTCAAAATTGCTTACCATAATTATGTGAATTAATTTGTGTCCCAGTTTTATTTCTCCAACAAATCCATCAGCAACTAATCTACGTTAGGACAGAAAAACAAAAATATGCAGAAGAATAAGAGATTAGCCACGCTTTAAGCTCTACCCATCATTAAGTTTGTAGCAGCATTTCATCAACTAGAAATTCCCACCGGCGAAGGCATGCAAATGACGCAAGCAAAGTAAAATGTTACTTAAATAGAATGAATTAAAGACAACCCACACAAAAAAAAGATAATTTACGGAATGAGTTATGGTGAAAAGTTGTATAAATGTGCTATGACACAGCAATGGAAAGCGTTGACCACAAAGTTTTGCCAAAACAACCTGCCGCAACGGACAACCATTTGGAAGATGCGCGAGAAAAATGTGAAACTCGCATGTTCCACGTAATTTCTCACAAGAACGTTGTTTGTTAGTAACTATATATACATTGAGCATCAATGTGTATCTTTTTTCTAATTCTTCTTTTCTTTTTCGATTGGGGGAGGCAAAACTTACCGGATGCAACATAGTTAGTGTGAAATTAATGACGAAAATGGCTTTGCTTTCTCATTCCTATTGTCCAATAGACTTTCCCATTTC